ATGCTGCTATTGCAATAGCAGTCAACACAATTGTGTGAACCAGCAGCGGAGCTAGCCGGAACCAACTGAACAAAACTCGGCCACTCTCTGGGCCTCTGTCCGACTGGCCAGTTAATGCAGTTGCTGGATGTGCTGCTTTTTACTGCTGATGGCAAAATAGTTGTTGATTTTGAAACAACAACTGAACAACGACTGCCACACAGCGGCCAAAGTTGTTTCTTTTTTTTATACCCTTAACCCATTGAAAATGGGAAATCAGGGTATAATGGTTTTGTGAAGAGTATGTAACGGGCAGAAGAAATCATCGCAGACCCCATAAAGTATATATATTTTTGATCAGGGCGATGTGCTGAGTCGTTATAGCCCTGTCCGTCTGTCCGTCCGTGTGTCCTTATGAGCAAGCCGATCTCAGAAGATATAAGAGCTAGAGAGCTGAAATTTGGCATGCATACTCGTATATACCATGGCAGTACAAGTTTATCTTATTTTTTCGATAACTCATACGATAATTTTTTTATCGAGAATAATCGAAAAATTGATTGTGTTTTTCAAGCCTAGTTTGAACACTTTTTGACCTAGAGACTTCAGATGTACTGTGTATACACAGTTAATCGATAGGAAGATTTTGTAATTTACAGATTTTGGATACCACGGTCCCCTTGCCAATTTGTAAAAATTATTTCAATTACTAGAGACTTGTGCTTTAGAATGTACATACAGTTTAACCATATGATCACGTTTTGAAAGTTTTATTAAGATTGTCCGTCTACAAAAGATATAATTCATTAAGTAAATTCTCATAATATTGCCCACACTGCAGCGCAGCCCACGCGCAGTCGCTGCTTACCGCGCAGTCGCTGCTTACCGCGCAGTTAGCAGAGGGGGTGCTGTCTATGCATATGTATACATGTGTGCATAAAAAAAGTACATAATGATTAGAATATCAGCTTGAAGTGTTCAGGGTATCTCCTAGTCGAGCAGTCTCGACTAGAGCCTTCTTACTTGTATTTTTTTTTTTTTTGTTCCGCCCACCCTTTTTGCCTTTTTATTACGTTCTTCTTTAGTGAGGCTGCGGCGCTGTGCGTTTGCCGCTGATTGTTGTGCTGTAAATTGCATTTGCGGTCAACAAAGTGCAACAACAACACTGGCTTTATTTTGTTCTGTTTGCTAGCAAATTTTTCGTTGATTTCTGTTCCTGTTTCTCATTCTCATTTTCATTTTCATTTTCATTTGCTGTTTGTTTCATTTAAATTGCCATTAGGTGCGGCTTTGTGCCAACTTCTGCTCACACGCTGTGTCTGTGTGTCTGTCTGTGTACCCAATGGAAAAACCACAGCATTTGGGTTACGATTACATACACACACACACACACACACACAGTGTCACACATAGATATTCACACACACAGCAGCTAGTTAACATTTCCGGCTCTCTCTGTCTCTGTCTGCACTTACACATTTTTGTGCTCAATAATTTTCACTTTTTCCCCATAACTTTTCCAGCATGCACTAAATATTCAACAGTTTTCATTCCATCTATGCCACCGGTTGCAGCTGCTCTCAGCTTTGCTCACTTTGATTTCATTTTCATTGCCTTCTTTTTTTTCGTTTTTATCGAGGAAATAGTGCTGGCTTGGTTTTTAATTAAAACAACAATGCGCCGCTTCACTCAGAGAAACCATTTTCACCTATCCATTGATCGGCTAACACCCCAAACACACACACACACACACATGCACACACACATTCGAATGCAAACAGCCAGCGAATGCTGGGCAGCCAGCCAGTCAGTCGGTCAGCCAGAATGTTGTCGTCGTCCTCGTCGTTGTTGTTGTTGTTGTTGCTGTTGCTGTTGTTGTGTGTGTTGTTGTTGCAGTGTTTTACTTTTAACAATTTCATTTCAGTCTCACCCTCTGCCCGTCCCCTGCCTTTGTTTCCGAGCTTGTTTTGTGTGAAAAGTGATAAGTGAAATATGCTTTTCAGTTTTCAATTTAGTAGTTCAATGCAATTCCAATTGGATATTTGCAATGGGCAACGTTCAGCGCCCAAACAGTTGCCCCAGCTCCGCTGTATTGGCAAACTGCTGCTGCCAGTTACAGGGGGAACACTCGCAAAATGTCGACAGTCAGCAGTCCTTTAATAATGCTTTTATTGCATAGATATAGAAATGGAAACCAAACAAAACAAATAAGAAAGATCTAGTCGAGACTGCTCGACTATGAGATTCCCTGAACCCTGTAAAGCAAAAGATATTCCGAGAGATACTCAAATCATTCTGAACTTCAACATGTATCTATGTATGTATCTATGTATCTAATTATCTATGTATCTAAGTATCTAAGTATCTATGTATCATAAATATGTATCTATGTATCTATGTATCTATGTATCTATGTATCTATGTATCTATGTATCTATGTATCTATGTATCTATGTATCTATGTATCTATGTATCTATGTATCTATGTATCTATGTATCTATGTATCTATGTATCTATGTATCTATGCATCTATGTAACTATGTATCTATGTATCTATATATCTATATCTATCTATGTATCTATGAGCTCAGGGTATAAAGAGGTGGAAAAAAAACCAAAGTCCTTTGCGAGATTTTTGTGCAGAGAAAAATGCAGCTAGCATTCAAGCAAAAGGCAGAGCCTGGTATAGTCTATCATTATGGTATGTGCACTCCCTTGGGAGGGGAAGCGGAGGGAAGTGAAAAGTGAATGCGGCGATGCATTGCATCTGCGTTTGCATTTGCCTATGTGGGCCATGGCATCGGTTCAGTTCGCTGAACTCGCCGGTTCTTTGCCCTGCTGTCGGCCACGCCCACGGCCCCAACCCTGCAAGCCAATTTAGAATGCTCGCGGACACCTCACGAGCACTTGACACTCTTTGTGTAACGGCGCCGCCACCACCCCACCTGTCAGCCAAATATTTTTAATCCCCTTGACAGCGAGTGCAACACGAATGAAGTAGCAAGTGGGCGTAAAGCAAACATTTGCCAAGTCAACAGAGCAGGCGACTCCCAGCTGAATCGCCACTTTGCACAGTGTGCCCAAACATGTGTACATTCGATTATCATTGAGTAAATTTAAGTTGATGTTGTCAGTTGATGTAATATCATTTGTACTTGTATGAGTTGAGTCTATTACTGGCAAGTGCAAGAGTTATTATTTTGCTGATTATTTTTCTTAAGTATTTAGAGATTCGTCCCACTGTGCGTTTTGGACGGCGACAAGTTCGAGTTGAGCATGGCACAAAGGACAAGCAGTTCGAGCGACAGCAACAGGCACAGAAATGCAGTCACACACTCACACACACACTCTCTCTCTCTCTCTCTCTCTCTCTCTCTCTCTCTCTCTCTCATACACCCACAATGCATTGCGAACTTGTGGCAGTCGCATTTCAGATGCCACAATGCGAATCATAGAAAATAGACTGCGCCAAATTGGAGCGAGACTAATGTCTGGGGGCAAAGTTCATGAGGCGGGTCATGTCTGTGGTCGCGGTTCGTGTCTTGTCGTACATTAGCAGTGACACGGCTCATTTGTGTTAATTTGAAAATGCTGACAACGGCAACGAGTTGCTAATGAGCCCCGAAACCAATTTCGACTCAGCAGGCTTTGGCTCTCTCTTAAAGCAACAAAGTCAAAGTTCGAGGTAAAACCAAATATAATTTAGACCAGACATAGAATTGATATAATAGCGTGAAACGTATACTTTTTTTAAACCACAACCCAAATTCTCAGTACCAACTCAAAGCACACAAAATGACATTTAAGAAACTACTTTTCGTTTGCATGGGTAAGTCGCCGAACAGCTGAGCCTCCACAGCAATCCATCCATTAATCCATCCGTCTCTGGTGCAGGCAACTCATGCAGCTCGCCCATGGCCGAGACAATTATGCAGACGCTGATGGTGAAGACAAGCCTATACTGGGAGGTGGACAGCGCAGCGCTGCGCACCTGGAACATTGGCAGGCGACCGCACAAGCTGTGCCTCAAAGTCCTCCGAGAACACGGACTGCGCTCCGATCACTTCTGCCGGCTGGTAATGCAAATGGAATGGATACGAAAGGAAATCATTGTTAAGCTAAATGATTTTCTATTTGCTTTCCTCTCTCTGGCAGCTAACTGTGCAGGACTTTTATTACTTTGACTACATCATAGCCATGAATGAGCATATATTCAAGGAGCTGCTGCTCTGGGCGGATGCCAACCGGATTCTCCACACCTCACATGTCATAATGCTCGGCGCGTACGGGAAGAATGGCAAGAGCGTATCGATTATTGATCTGTCGCCGGTATGTTGAGATGAATGGTTCCCATTTACAGTTTGATTTTATTATGCGAACACAAATATGTTGCAGGCACGCAAACTTAAGGCCTTCAGAAATGCGTATTATCAAATCAAGGACTGCTGCAAGGAGCTCATACTGGGCGAGCAGGTCAGCATTGTGCGCTACGATGTACCCAGTACGGATGATGATGATAAGGAGCAGGCGTATCAGGGGAAAAATATGTCTCATGGAGACTCCACTGAGGGTCCCGATTCTCCCTATTCCCTGGCCGCCCCATGTCAAAAAAGCAGCTCGAAAAACTCTCTATCACCGTGCTCAGTGTGTTCCATAGGCATGCCCCAGTCGAATAGAAAGAAACTATGCCACAAGTGTGGCCAGAAATTCTTGGCTCAGCTCTGAGCGCCAGCTTCGAATAGACTGTTGACCATTTTGCTATCCTAAAAGACGAGTCCCAGCTTATACACAGCGGCCAATTGTTGATTATGAAATAAACGTAAAAGTGACTTTGATACGACAGCTATTTCAATTTATGCATATGCCATCGATCCGCAGCTAATTGGCTCAGAGCACAGACTATAAAAGCCGCTGTCAGTGGCCAGACCGCACTGCTAGTCCGGACTACCTTGATGTGTGCTGACCCCCTCGCTAATCGCTGAGCAGCTGCTGAGCATGGAACGCAGCTTGTTGCCGCAGACATTGGACGCTGCCTGGCCTGTCAGTGGACTTGGGCCCAGATTCGATGCCCAGGCGAGTGGCAATGGCTCCGTCCTGGATAATGTAAGTGCTACCTTTGAATATATACTTCGATAAAACACCTTAGAGAGGAGAGATTTTTATTTTTTATTTTAGCGCCTCGGCTAGGGGCTGAAGTTAGTTTATAGAATAGATATAAAATAAAATAAATTAATTTTTGAAATTATTTCATAAACATAAAATATGTATTTAAAGATATAGAACAAATATATAAAGATAATGAACTAAGAACTGTAAATTATGATATGTTAGGGTAATCTGAAGAATATTTAATAAGACAAATTAATTTTCAAAATATTTATTTTTATGACTTACTTTAAATTTAAATACAAAATAATTTATTTATTATTTAATTTTTATTTATTTAATATTTTTATTTTTAATTATAAAAATATTTTTTTTATGATTTACTTAATTTAAGTACAAAATAAATATTTATTTATTATTTAATTTTTATTTATTCAATATTTTTATTTTAAATTTAGAAAATATTTACTTTTATGTTTTACTTGATTTAAGTACAAAATAAATATTTATTTATTATTTAATTTTTATTTATTCAATATTTTTATTTTAATTTATTTATTTTTATCAATCTGCATACAACAAATTTCACGCACTTCAAATTATTTAATATCCCGAGGGTAGCCCGAGTCTACATGCAGCTTTGACCACGCCTTCTCATGTATGATAAATTTAATCAATAATAATCAATAGTTTCGTAATGCTTCATTCTCAACTCACTGCACTCTAAATTTCAATTTCATTTTGCAGGTGCTGCCGGATATGGCGCACCTGGTGAATCCATATTGGAGCCGCTTTGCGCCGATGGATGCCACAATGAGCAAGATTCTGGGCCTGTTCACGCTGGCCATCATGATCATCTCGTGCTGCGGCAACGGAGTTGTTGTCTACATCTTTGGCGGCACCAAGTCGCTGCGCACGCCCGCCAATCTGCTCGTCTTGAATCTGGCCTTCTCGGACTTTTGCATGATGGCCTCACAGTCGCCGGTCATGTTGGTCAATTTCTACTACGAGACATGGGTCTTGGGTCCGCTGTGGTGCGATATTTATGCTGTGTGTGGCTCGATGTTTGGCTGTGTTTCGATTTGGTCCATGTGCATGATCGCCTTCGATCGCTACAACGTCATTGTGAAGGGCATCAATGGAACGCCCATGACAATCAAGCTGTCCATCATGAAGATTCTGTTCATTTGGCTGATGGCCACGTTCTGGACCATTATGCCCCTGATCGGCTGGAGCAGCTACGTGCCGGAGGGGAATTTAACCGCCTGCAGCATTGACTACATGACCAGGCAATGGAATCCACGCTCTTATCTCATAACATACTCGATATTCGTCTACTATGTGCCGCTGTTTCTCATCTGTTATTCGTATTGGTTCATAATTGCGGTAAGTGTGCGAATCAGTAGACGTTTCCCCACCTCCCCACCAACAAGCCAATTTGCAGGCCGTGGCAGCACACGAGAAGGCCATGCGTGAGCAGGCCAAGAAGATGAACGTCAAGTCGTTGCGCAGCTCGGAGGATTGCGACAAGAGCGCCGAGGGCAAATTGGCCAAGGTGAGGCTGCAGTAATTCATTTGAGACCGTCTCACATTTCATTACCCACTCAGGTGGCATTGACGACTATTTCGCTGTGGTTTATGGCCTGGACCCCGTACCTGGTCATCTGTTACTTTGGCCTGTTCAAGATCGAGGGGCTGACGCCACTCACCACCATTTGGGGCGCCACATTTGCCAAAACCAGCGCCGTCTACAATCCCATTGTTTACGGCATAAGGTAAGACGGGGTGCAACACTTGAGAGAGAACCTATAATGTATTTATTTATTTACATAAGTCATCCCAAGTATCGAGTGGTGCTCAAAGAGAAGGTATATCTTATCTATCTTTCTTATCACTTATCTTATCTCATACTGTTCTTCTTCTCTTTTTCTGTTTTTGTAGTGCCCCTTCTGTGTTTGCGGCAATACTGATGAGCCTAAGCCCGATGCGCCCGCTGGGGATACAGAAACCACATCAGAGGCGGAATCAAAAGCCTAAATATGTATATATAAAAAATTCTAAAATGTTCTGCAAATGCCTACAAAAGGCAACAAATGTAAAAAAAAAAAAAAAAAAGTAAAGAGTAAAGTAAAGTAAAAATGAAATAAAAAAGTGATAATAATAAAAATAATAATAATGGTTTTAAAGCTAATTCTGGTGTAGCTAATCGACGATTATTAAACTATTTAAATTAGCATTACAAGGTAAACCTTCTTATAGTATATATTTTCAAATACTTTCTAGATATAGATAAACAACAAAAATGCTGTATACTTTGATAACGAGTCAAGATTTGATAGCTTATTTGTATTGAATAGGCTTCAGAATAACTGGACGGATTGGAAAAATTATTTTTCCAATATAAGCCTATCCTACCCCACATCTTATCCCTGATGAGAATAGAGTCTTTAAATACGGCAATTATGTAAACAAAAATGTGACAAATAAAAACAAAAAAAGGAACAAAAAAATAAGCTTGTATTTGAAATCGAAACGTTAGGCTGTCTTTTAAAGTATTGTTTTAGCTTGGTCAAAATCCATTTGACACAGCTATGCTAAAACGTATAAAGTGCAACAATATTTAAACTTGGGCAAAAATTTAATATTTTACCCTTCTCATAACCATATAAACTTGCCATATAATTGAAAGGGTTGAAGTGCTATAAAACTACGAAATAGGGCTCTCTGTTTTTATAAAGCTTTCAAGCTTTTGGTACTCGAAAATTTAACCTTTTAACTTTAAGAGCATCAGTTGAAAGTTAAATTGGATTAGAAAATAATTATCTATATATTTGTTAGCTAAAGTTGACTACGCTCCAAGCTCGGGAATCTTGTCAATGCCAGGAAAATTACGTCACGCGTACATCGACTTAACATACGAAGAGCTGAGCGAGCTGATTCCCACTCCGTCAGATCCCGTTTGTTTCATCTGCCTTGGCCCAGATTTGAGCGACGTTAATGTCGCTATTTGCTCCGACTGCTGCGTCTTTCGTTTAATGATGATAATTACTCAGTTATATTCGCCACACGGGCCCGCCCCCCTGGGCACATCCCGCACATTTGGTCTAATGAGCATGTACACACACACGCACACACGCACACAGAGACAGTGCCATGACAGTCGCATGCACACCCACTCGAGAGTCTAATTAGAATACAACAAAGCAAGCAAGAAGCAAAGCTAAATTTTTGCCCGTCAGCAATTTGGCCAAAAGTTCATCAGATTGCGCCACCAAGTGCTGATTCTCGGGCGCTGACGACTCTCATCTCACAGACATACGTGGCTGAGGCAGCCCAAGATGTGCCCAAAGTGCAGCAGCCACGCCCAACCAGTGAAGACTACAGCCATGCGTCTGGATCGAGCATTTATTTGTGACAGCCGCCTCTGGATTTCAATTACTTGACAGATAATTGCATGTGGCGCTCTCCTACCAGAAAAGCGTCGGGCGTGACGCACCCGACCTGGCCCAGTGCTGGCCGGCCAGCTCGCCCACGGAGGCCATGGCCAGGCCCTGAAGTGTGCTCACGCAGTTGTTGTACTCGGCGACCTGCTTGTTGGCCCTCAGCTGCGTCTCGCAGCCCTTTAGTCCCACCTGAAATGTGTCCAAGACGTAGGCGCCATCCTGCTGGGCCTCTGCCGTGGGCGGCAGCTTTTCCTCGATCGCTGCACGCAATGTCCTCTCCGCCACGACGCCTCGCTGCAGTGTCAGCTCAACGGTCACATCCTGCGCCTTAGCCAGCACCTGTGGAGACAAATTGGATAGTTCCAAGCTCTGTTGAGCGATGCGAATGCAACTCCTACCAGGCACATCCAAACTGAGATCACAATCACCGTTGCCGTTGTCGACATTCTCTGTGTGCGTTCACTCGCCAACTGTTAATCTCAGCGTCAGCAGCATCTGTTATATCTTATCTGGCCGGGCGTTCGTTTAGATAAAAACAATGTTGTAAAATCGCTTGTAAAGACGCGCTCATATATCTCACGGCACGACATCGCGACGAGGCGTCGTTAACAGCTTTAACCCAATTAAGTTTTTATAGGCGCTCAGATTTGCTGTTTCTGTTTCTAATATAATCGCTTATCAGCGGGCAACGGAAATGCTAAAAGGTAGCTAATTGCTTGTGCATTCAACAGCTCAGCTTATGTAAATATATATATATATATATATAAGTATATACATATATATAGATATCACCTCTGCTATCAGGTGAGAAAAGCACACACATAAATAAAATAGAAACGGATGTGAGTCAGAGCAACTAGCTTCAGCTTCATTTTGGCTAAAATGACAGCACGTAAGCCTTGTCCTGGCCACGCCCACACGCAAGTCACCGAACAACAAAACAAACCAAGAACAACAACAACAACAAGAAGCGGTTGCCTACTTTTTGGGGCGCAACTTTTGCATACAAATCCGCAAGCCCAAAAACAAATTTACATACATGGAGCCAGCGCCCGCTGCACCCCGCTGTCATGTTTTTTTTTACTTATTTACTTTCTGTTTGCCTTTTTTTCTCTCTTGTTTTGCTAAACAATTTCAGCATACATTGGGCAGCGCGGCTGCTTCTGCTATGTCCACTTTGAGCACTTGAAACGCCGCAACTTTTGCATTACCAGCAGAAGGGGGCGCGCAGTGGGCGTGGCTGGCTGTACCACAAAACTTAGCATAGCTCATGCCAAGCCACACATACACACACACACACACACACTGGCATATTTGTTGTAATGACACAAACAACAAAACCCGAGTTTCAATCTTGGGGCAAATATTTCAATTAAGTGACAAAACTTTGCACTCGCCTTGATCCTTGTAATTCGCCTTGTCATTGTTTTGTATGTGTGTGTGTGGGTGTGTGGGTGTGTGGGTGTGGCAGTGCGACATGGCCAACGGCTGTTTCAAAATTTACATTTAATTACATATTTGAATTTGAATTTGAATGTGCTTTACCGCATTTGAAAGCGCCAACGAGGCGTATGCGTCATTTGGCCCAATCTGCCATCGGCTTCTGGAGGACGTCTGGTCATTTGCGGCAAATCTTTGGCTCGTTAAGCCAAACCATTTAATCCCCTTTAATACCAACAGTACTCCCAGCCGAAATTCATCCAGCCGCACCAACAAAGCCAGATATTGAATGAGGACATAACTACGACAATGATAAGTGCAACTGCATTGGCCACATAAATCAACATTGGTTTGCCAGGCAGTCACTCAATGGGCCACTTTGGGCTGGGTATGCGCTCGCAGTCATGCACTGAGTGGCAACATTTTGGAAAGTAAGGGACGGACACAGCGCCAAGGCAAAATTGAGCTGCCCATTTTCACAATGTTCAAGCGAGGAGCAAAAAAGAGCCAGAAGGCTGGAGCTGGGAGGTGGGGCTGGTGGAACAGCGGAGAAATGCCGCAAAGGCGAGCAAATAAAGTGAAGGAATTCAAATATTTGGCCAAAATGCGTCAAGTTTTTACTGGGCCAGCTCGAGGACAGTTCTGAGCTGAACTGCGCAACATTAGCCCCTCGAATAGCTCTCCTCTACAAAAAAAAAAAAAAAAAAAGAAGGCACGCACAGAAGGAACAAAATATTTGCACCCGAATCCCCCTCGAATCGCTCGCATTGAATTCTGACGAATTTCGTAACGCAGCGAATTTAATAAATTACAGCTATGCAAAACACTTGCGCCAGTGGGGCAGCGCGGGACCACATCAAAGCGGGCCCTGGCTAAGGACCAAGGACACAACTTGTAAAGCTTGGGTGCTTTGAAAAAGGTTTATTTAAAGTATATCGAATCTATGCTGGTGTATTGCACTTAAAGTATGTTTGTTTGTTGTTGTTCGGGTGATTCCAATTGAGTCGTCTTAGATCTGGACTGGGCCGGCTGCTACTGCGGCTGCAGTGGTGGCAGCCAGACGTGCCTGCCACTCGTCATCGATGAGCTTCAGATCGTTCTTGGCGGTGGTCAGGGCGGGCTTGACGCAACGGATCTGCAGCCAGGGCAGCGTCGCGGTATTGCAGTTGGCGAACGCGAGCTCGGCATTGGCCAGCACATCGAGGACGCGCTCGGACAAGTCGGCGGGGAAATTGGGCTGGTTGAGCAGACGATCTGCCTCCTTCTGCAGCACTATGGACTGGAAGAAGGAGGAGACAGAGAAGCCGCCAAAAGGCGCTGCCGCTGGTGGTACGACTGCAGCAGGTCCGGCCGGAGCTCCACCGACAACGGCACCCGCTCCGGGCGCAGCTCCACCAAAAACTCCATTCAGATACGGATTAAATGCAGCCGCGAAAGGATTGGCACCCGCAAAGGGACCAAAGGCCTACGAAAAAGAATTCCTCAATCAGTCAAAATGCCAAAAAGGTGTCGCAGCTTTATTGATTTACCTGGGCATTGATGCAAGCGACGCTGGCGACGAGTAAAACAATTGCGAATTTCATTTTAAGGTGATTCGATTCGTTTTGTTCTGAGTTGGGCTCAGTCGTAGTAGTTTCAGAGAGACTAATATCTGGTCAGGCATTGGAATGGTCTTATATACACATAATTAGCCTGCAATTCAGCTCGCTTATCTTGGCCCTGGCAATTGAACTGATTTACATGCTCTAATGTTTGTTTATCAAATGTAGCGGCGTAATCCCCATTTCTAGGGGTTATCTATTAAGATAGTGGCAAAAGCTGGGTGGATCGCAAAAATTGTCGAGTCACCAAATTACGTCAGGCTTCATACATGATTTCTAATATTATTATTAATCATATCCTTTTTACTTTCTCTTTCCCTCGCCCTCTCTCACTTCAGTCTCTTTCTCTCTATCTCTCCCTCTCTCTCTCTCTCTCTCTCTTTCACTCTCTCTCTCTCTCTCTCTATCTGTCTTCCAGAAATGAAATTTGCAATGATTCATAATTTGTTTTTTATTTACAACTTTTTCTGCAAGTAAACAAATACAAAGAAATGAGAATACTGAGTAAACAAATTAATTAAAAACTATGCAAATATCATGATATTTACAGAATATTTTTGAGATAGAAATTTACATATATTTAAAAAAATTATATGCATACATATAATTATCAACGCCAGCGAATATTGAAAAGAATACAATGTTTAACACTTTTTACGTGTTTTTTCTTTTTTGTTGATATCTGTACGTGCTTAACACAAAACAGAAAACATATATTTATCTATGCATGTGGTTTATATATGCATGCTGATAAAAAGACAAACAAACAAAATTATGGATTAAAAATAGATTTTTAATGATACGATTCGGCAGGCTGTTAACTTAACATTTGAGTAAAAGAATTCATCAACTAACAGCCTGTTTTCAATCAAATTGCCGCTGGCTTATTGCAAGCTTGACAAATATTTGAATTTAACAGCTCTTTTAATAAGCTTTCAGCAGTAAATCAACAGATATTCAAAAGCTTAAACCAGAATTTTTTATAATTTGCACTGAAACTCAAAAATATTACTAAAAATATTAAATAAAATATTATTAAAAATATTACTAAAAATATATTCATTTATTATTAATATTCATTTCAAATTAAAATTCTCGCGCCAAAATAAATATCGATTGTTTTACCATAGTGAGCGACTGTTAAACCGATATGGCTATGTTAACTAACATAAGTGTATTAGCTAACGCAAAGTGAGCAGCTAATGAACAGTATCGGTATCGATGTTTATGGCATCACTAAAATTTTTGTACACAGCAAAAAATCGATTTAGTTCGACGAGGAAAAACGACCCCCGCGTCCAACACACCAGCCCCAAGCCAGAGGGAGATTAGTAGTAGTAACGACAGTCCTTCAAACATTACGCAGCCAATCGTCTGGCTATACTCCAAGGTTTGCCCAGCAGAGAGTAAAAGAAAAAGAAGTGTGAAGATACCACAGAACGTGCAGCGCAAACAAAACGAGTGAAAGTGCAAAATTATAACATAAATCTATGCGACTGGCATTTTCAACAATTTCTTCCAGCCAGTAACAGCCTCAGTCAACGTCAGCCCCCGTAGCACCCAGCACCGAGAATCGAGCGTTTCCACCCCCAACAATAAAAAAAAAAAAAGTGCACGCCGCGTAAGTCGTCCAAACGTTAAAAATAGATACGCATCGTAGTTGGGCAGAGAAATCAAAATCAGTTGATTTTTTTTATCATTTACTGATAGTTTGTGGGTTATTAAATAAATTGAAGCATTAACAAGCAAGTCAACTAACTCAAACCCGTTCACAGCAACCGCGTCGTTGACATCGAGCCACACAAAGCCCCAACAACAACAGCAACAACAGCACCACGATGGCGTTCGCTGGACTAAAGAAACAGATCAACAAAGCCAACCAGTATATGACGGAGAAAATGGGCGGTGCGGAGGGCACCAAGCTGGATATGGACTTTATGGATATGGAGCGTAAGACGGACGTGACCGTGGAGCTGGTGGAGGAGCTGCAGCTGAAGACCAAGGAATTTCTGCAGCCAAATCCAACGGCGCGTGCCAAAATGGCCGCCGTGAAAGGCATCTCGAAGCTGTCGGGACAGGCTAAGTCCAATACGTATCCCCAGCCTGAAGGTCTGTTGGCTGAATGCATGTTGACTTATGGTAAGAAGCTCGGCGAGGACAACAGCGTGTTCGCGCAGGCGCTCGTCGAATTCGGCGAAGCGCTGAAACAAATGGCCGACGTCAAGTATTCGCTGGACGACAACATCAAGCAGAACTTTTTGGAGCCCCTGCATCATATGCAGACCAAAGACCTTAAGGAGGTCATGCACCATCGAAAGAAGCTGCAGGGCCGGCGTCTCGACTTTGACTGTAAACGTCGCCGACAGGCCAAAGATGATGAAATTCGTGGTGCTGAGGAGAAGTTCGCCGAGTCATTGCAGTTGGCGCAAGTAAGCATGTTCAATTTATTGGAGAACGATACTGAACATGTCTCACAACTCGTGACCTTCGCTGAAGCACTTTACGATTTTCACTCTCAGTGCGCCGACGTACTGCGTGGCCTGCAGGAGACGCTACAGGAGAAACGTGCCGAGGCTGAGAGCCGGCCACGCAATGAATTTGTGCCCAAGACGCTGCTCGATCTGAACTTGGACGGCGGTGGCGGCGGCCTCATTGATGACGGCACGCCGTCCCACATTAGCTCGAGCGCCTCGCCGTTGCCCTCGCCGATGCGCTCGCCCGCCAAGTCAATGGCCGCGACACCGCATCGCCAGCAGCAGCCATGCTGCCAGGCCCTCTACGACTTCGATCCCGAGAACCCAGGCGAACTGGGCTTCAAGGAGAACGACATCATAACGCTCCTCAATCGCGTCGACGACAATTGGTACGAAGGTGCCGTCAATGGCCGAACCGGCTACTTCCCCCAGTCATACGTGCAGGTGCAGGTCCCCCTGCCCAATTAGATTGCCTGCATGTTGATCATAATAATAAACTGAATGTTGGTTTCGCAGCTTGGCACATAGTATAAATGCAAAAAGAGATGCAGACAATTGTAGATGGTTATATATGGTTAGAGTTACAGTTACGGCTTAGCTAGCACAGCACCTTCATGTGGCCATAAAAACATCTATTGAAACGGCGCAAATGCGAAACAAAAAATATTAAAAAAAAAAAAAAAAAAACCAAAAAAAAAAAAAAAGAAAAAAATGAAAACAAACTAAATTAAATGCGAAATTTTACCAGTTGGCAAAACAATAACTACAAATTATTAATTACAATTAAATTAAAGTATGTAATTATGTATGTACTACAAACTACATTTTCAAATGTTACGAAATTAATAAGAACTTTCCATGCGTTTCCAATTTAAAAATTGCTCTCCTTTGAATCACACTTCTTATTGCTATATGAACAGCAGAAACACAATAAGCAATATATATATGTATAAAATATATATATATATATAACGAAGGGAAACATGTCAATCCAACATATTAATTAGCTAGATATCCATACTACATACTTACATAAATACGTTGCGAATCTTTTGCTTTCTCACTCTCTTGATTGTTGTAATTTCTAATTTGTACTTTCCATTGCGCTCTCTATCCAAATTCTATATAGTATACCTAAAGCTACCTACCTAAAAAAAAATATATATATATATTTGCATATATATATATAGATACCTATTAAATACCTATATATATTTATTGTATACTCCTAACTGATATTTGTGCAAATACAATACTCCCCACACTCTATCCCCTGGGGCGGCATATTAGCCGTCCGCATGTTCGTTGTAAAATTTAAAGAATTTTTGTCAACTTCAAGGATGTAATACGATAACAGATGTTGATATCCTACATTTTTGCTCCTTTTTATGTGTGTTGTTTTTTGTTATTTATATACATAACTATTACATAAAAGAAAACAAAACAAAACAAAAATATATATATATATATATAAATATAGATATATTTATTAAGCATATTATCTACATGTATATTTATTATTATGTATTTATTATAACTTATACTGAGCAGCAGCGTTAATACAACAATTATTATATTGATAATAACAACAACAATGTAATGAATAATGAACAACGTAACGGAATCCTCCTAAGCAAAAGCAGCATATAACTAGTTAAAATTTGAACATAATTATTACTATAAACGCGTTGATAATAACTGTTAACATAAGCGACAACTCTAAAACCAGTCAAGTCAAGTCGAAGCATAGCAAAGAGAATTCAATTACTAACCAAAACGCAAAATGAGTTTACTTACAATAAATTTCTAGAAGAATATGTATCTCTACCCGTAAATGTATCTGTATCTGTATCCGAAAGCAGACGAGTCAAGCCCCATATGAATGGCATACATAGAATACATAGAATGGTGCATACAAAGCGATATACATGCAAACACGAATGTATATAAGCAGCCGTATACACAATTATATATTTACTGATAATAAATTAGTTAATGAGCGAAAAAAAAAAAAAAAAAAAAAAAACAAATTTAATTTGCGAACGCAAATATAAAACTTGCGACATTTGCCAAACATTTCCAGGCGGCAGCCCCATTTAGAGATTTTGGCTCGACCGGCCGAGGCAAACGCGAATGATTTTATTTTTAATAAAATTTTTTGTTTTTGTTTTTTTGATGCATTGATGGGCGGCAAGAGTAAAACAATAATAATTGTAATTATGCATTTGTGTGGTGGAAAAGGATATAAAAAATAATATATATATATACATATATACATAACTACATACATACAAAGAATACAACTATATAAGAATAACGCTAAAAACTGAATCCCTAATTTATGCAAAACAAACAAAAACAATAATTGAATACATTTAATTTTCAATGTGTCTTTCGTTCAAAATCAAAAAACAAAACAAACAAACAAAAAAAAAAAGAAAAGAAAAGAAAAACCGAATTTGTGTTTTGTTATTTGCACGTTGACCTTAAACCGAGCAATGCATCCTTACCATTCCGCCCCATTGTCATCCGGCTTAGCCTTGGCCCAGCCCCGAGGTCTTAATATGAATGTTGCGTAACATTGACTCGGATGCTGCACAGGAATGAGACCCGACAGAGCGACATCGTCGTCGTCGACGGCGCCACAGAGAAAGCAGAGCAAAAACGAAAAGCGCATTGAAATGTTCGATTTTTCCACACGGAGCGTAGTGGCACAGATGACGTATCCAAATCCGAGTCCAACCCAACCCAAAGAGTAAGACGACCCAGTTGGAATGACATTGAAACGTGACGCAACACCCCCTGCGCATATCATCATCCATTGAGGTCACGAATCCACCCCTGCCAACGAATACATCTGTGTGAGCAAGTTCATCTTGAATGGGGTTGCGTCTGCTCCAATGTTGACCACCCAAACATAAACTGATTTGTCCCTCTCGGCTCGGAAAGAGATACGGAAATTGAATTACTCATAAATTTTGCTACTTTTGCACCACAAATCTCGCTTTTCTTTATTTTGTAATTCCCAGCATTTTTGAATTTATAATAAAATATTTGGAAAGCAAGCTGCGAGCAAATATAATTATTTTACAATTTAAAATTTTTAATTCAGTTATTTTAGAATGTTTTTATTAACTAATAAAATCAATAATAATATATATATTTTAGATTCTGCATATTTATAGGCTTTAGTAAAGTTCAAATTTGTTGGGTAATTTTCAAATATAAATATATATAAACATATATATATTTTTTAAATGTTTAAGTCTTTTCTCATCTAACATTCAAACACAACTAAATTCCACTAAAAAAAAAAAAAAAATTTAATTATTAAGTTTTTAGTATTAAATAAATATTAACTAATTCAAATATACATGTATTAAAAATTAAAACAATGTTTTTAACATTTTGTGCTAGCTTTCCACTCTATAAAGCTGATCTTAACTATCGAAGTTGGATAATTCTAAGCTGCAATATTATTCATTTTACTATCCATTCTTATTTATTCAAGCATTTGCATATCTTTGTATCAGTTTACAAAAGATTTGTCTAATATCATATGTCATATGGAGTAGTTTTCTCAATTTTCATATATATCTGAATATTGATTCATCGACATCAGCCTCCATCAACATTATCTGCACTGTCAACTGCCCACTCAATACGATCAAGTACATCATTCGTCCTTTCTCAATTTTAAGGCAATTTATAGGAAATTAATAGAGGCACAGATTGAGCTATTTAATAGACATGGACATCGCTAGCCCAAAACTTAAACTAACTAGCTCATAAATCTTCTGAGATCGACAACAGACGAAAGGACTGATAGGTCCTGTCTGAACAGGACTTAATCGACTCAGCTCGCCCAGAACATAATTATATACCTATATAATTTATACGGTCTGCCACGCTTCCTTCATGTTACATACATTTGCCACGCTTCCTTCATGTTACATACATTTAAAATCGAACCCTGATCTCCTATATGCAATGGGTTCAGGGTATTCAAATAATTAAATACTGTACATTTTAATACTTTATTGAAATCTACTACATATACTCAAAATTCCTATATTACAAAAGCTATGATTGTAAGTATTGGTCGTATTTGATATATGTAAATCTTTCTAAATTATTTCTCAACAGATGAGTAAATAAGCTTTATAATTTTTACAGGAAATCAGACTAAATTATTATTATTATTTTTCCTGTTTTTTAAATCTTTGAAAATGATCAATAAAAAATACACTTTATACAAATGTCGGGGCAATGAGCTTGTGATATTTTATAGCTTATCGATTTCACAGCTGGTCTAGCCTCAAATGACTAATAAGTGTTAAAGACTTTGATATAGCATGTCTTATCAGCAAATTGTATGTCATTTTATTTTCAATGTGATAAGGCCAAATACAAAACCCAAAATGTGCTTAGAATAAGGAGGAAATAATTGATCGACCAATACTCTATAGGGCAGCTAACTACACTATAATATACTGTTCGTACTGGGTGAGCTTTCGACGTCTGGGCCTTTGTAGCGCCTCATGGCCCAGAGTCAGGCAGACGGGCTCCTTCTTGAAAACTCCCTGATCCTGCAGCACGGCGTGGGGGGCACAGCGCCACGGATCCTCTGTGTCCACCTGCCACTTGAAGAGCTTCTGGCGCAACTGTTTCAGGGTGGCGCTATACTTCGGCTTGTCCACCAGATTGAAGCGCTCCAGGGCATCCGCCTTGATGTCGTAGAGCTCCCACTCGGGTCGCTGGTAATACTGCTGCAGGGTGCGGTACCAGGGCGATGGCTGCTTGTTGATGGTGGCATTGAGGATCTGCTGGAACGTGGGCGATGTATAGAAGTCCTGGTCGATGGGAAAGTCCGCCCAATAGTTGAGGTTGTGTATGAGCTTATAGCGCCGGTTGCGCACCATGCGCATGGGATAGGCCATGGTCACCTCGTGGTAGCTCTGGCTACCGAAGACAGCGTCGCTCTCCACAGGCTCGGGCTCTTTATAGAGCACAGGCAAGAGCGATTGGCCGCTGAAGCGCGTTCCGTTAGGCGGCAACAGCTGGAGAGCATCCAGAACGCTAGGATAAATGTCCAGCAGACTGGCCATAGCAGCGCTCGTCTCGTGACGACGTGCGTCGGCTTGGGGGGAGCTAAGAATAAGCGGAGATCGAATACCACGCTCATACAGATTGGTACGGCCACCCGGAAAAGGTGGACCATTGTCCGAGGTGTATATGACGAGGGTATCTTCCGCCAGTCCAGATTCCTGCAATTCCCGCAAGAGCAAGCCGACGCCCTGATCCAGTCGCGAGATGGTCATGTATTGGGCGGCCAGCTCCTGTCTGACCACATCCGTGTCCGGCAGCCAGGCAGGCACTTCCAAGTTGCGCCAGTCATAGTAGATGGGCTTCCAGTCCGGTATGGTGCCCATTCCCTCCTCGCCGCTGCCCCAGCGCTCGCAAAACTCGCCGTACTGCGGCGTGATGTGGCCACAACGGTGCGGATCATGGAAGCCCACCAGCAAGAAGAAGCTTCTCGCCTCAGCCTTGGCTCGTGCCAGAAACTCGTGTGCGTACTCCTTGATTTTGGTAATGTTGCGACCGATTTGGTTTATCGAATGCTGCTCCTCCGTCTGCTCGAAGTCGAAGAAAAAGTTCGAGGCGGCACCGACATGCTTCTTGCCTATTATGCCGCTCAGTATGCGTCCTTGGCTCTGCTCGCGCAGCACATTGGACAACGAGCTCACCTCGGGCAGCACATTGAAGTTGTGCACGCCCTGATGGAGCCCGTACATGCCGCTGGCGTGACTCGCCTGTCCGGTCAGCAGCTGAGCGCGGCTCGGACTGCAGCTGCTGACGGAGGTGAATGCGTTGTTGAACAGCAATCCGTTGCTGGCCAGCGCATCCAAATTCGGCGTCTGGCAGTACTTGTTCAAATAGGCGCCCATCTCAAAGCCCGCGTCATCGGCCAGCAGCAGCAGCACATTTTGTGGTGACTGCGCGCAGCGAACGCTGCCCAGCAGCAACAGCAGCAGCAGCGAGGCAAGTGGAGGGCGCAACGGCATTGCGACTGTTTCAGCTCTGGACAGGCACAGAGACAGACCAAATTAGACCATCGACTCACTCAGCCCGAGCTCAACTGATCCGCCAGCATTTCAATATATGGCACTCGCAGCGAGTCGACTCTTTCATCTTTCTTTCTTTGTTGCTTTCTTTCTCCGGTCACACTCATTCAATTCCAATTCCAAATCCAGTTTTAATCTCTTTCCCAGCCAGAGCTCAGCATGTGCGCTCATGCACAATGGCCCAACGTAGCTATACAATCTGCACACAAAGGCAAATCTAGATATGTATATGTATGCATATATGTATATACATATATGTACATATGTATGAGTTAGTATTTGTGGACTTTTTTACATTCACTTTGACCGGCTTTCGTACGGGGCATTCAGCTCTATCGTTGGATTATATCTTCATACAACCAAATTGAACTGGCTTGTATTGGCATTTGTTTAAAGTAAATTACAATTATATTATTTTTGTATAAAGTCTTGTATACATGTTTATAATTATTTATAATTTGTGCTGCCATATGCATATACAATTTATGTAAATCAATAGAAATAATAAAAATTAAAAAATAAAAAATCTAAAAATAAATTCAATTATTTATTTATATATGACAATGAATTTTATACTAGTTGGTCTACTAAATCAAGCAATATGCATATATTAAACTTGTCTAAAAATCGATAGAAATAATAAGGTCTATCAGCTAAACCTAAAATGAAGCCATAAATCGAAACACTCTGCTCTTTAGAGAGTATAATGCCTGGAGAAGGGCAATTAGCATTGAATTGTTTCATTGCGTTTTCTGCGCATTCTCACACTTGAGCTTTATAATTAATACGCAATTTCCCCTCAATTGTGCACTTTCTCATTTCCTTTAGTTCGTGATGCACTTCATTGAATATTCAATAAGAAATAAGTGCCTAATGATACATTAGGCCAGTGACAATTTCTCCATTATTCCATTTTATCAGTGTCAGCAGCAATAGAATATTTATTCATTTATTATGTAAGTTCAAGAGTTCACAACAAAAGGTTTTATCGTTGCCGGGGCAATACGAAGAGCATTAGACACACTGCAAACAAAAGCTCACCAAACAATTGCACAGCAACACTTGGCAACATGTTACACACGTTGCCCTTGACTCTGGCAACATGTTGCCTAGCGGCCATCAGCTGTGACTCTGCCTATAACAGCCGCTGCTATACTGTAAAGCAGTTGTTGCATCAATCGGTAAAACTCTCTCTCTCTCTTTCACTCTCTCTCGCATGCATGCATGTGAGGGATTA